ACTGCCATTGTCTCTATTTTCAGTGTGGTCATCATCACAAGAAATATCTGCTTATGTGCTCACCTATTGTTAGCTCCTCCAACGCCACAGTGAACTAAGCTCCTTGGAGGCCAGGGAGCTACCGCCAGGTCCAGAAGAGTACCCGGCTCAGTTAGGCACTCAGGTGATGTCACCGAACCTGTGAAGTAATGATTTTGTGAGGGAAAGGAAAGCCCCAGGGCAGGGGTCCGGCCTCCAGACACACTTGGACTAAGAGGCGTGGCGCAGGAGCTCAGGCTCCTGCTGCAGCTGCCCACACCCCCAGCCCCAAGCATGGTTTCCCTTTGGGGCTGCAGTAGGTGCCTTCCTTCTGCGAGTCCGAGTGCACTGTCACCAGCCACATGTGCCCAGGGGGCGGCTCATGGATCCTGGCTACTGCAATTGGGGAGGTAAACTTCTCATCTGATTTCATTTTAATGAATTTTAAATTAAAAACTGATACCCAAGTCAGTTATTGGAAAACTTTTAGGTATGGTTGGAACAATGTGGATATGTGAATCTATTTTTTCAACACTCAATTTTATGAACTCTAAATACAGATCGAGTATTGCCAATGAAAATTTAGCATCTGCCTTGAAGTATGTTTTAAGTATAAAACATACACTGGATTTTGAAGACTGAGAACAAAAAGAGAGGGTAAAATACTTCATTACTGTTTTTATATGGATAACATGTCGACATGATAATATTTTGGATATATTGAGTTAAATAAAATACATTATTAAAATTCATTTCACCTGTATCTTTTTACTTTTTAATGTGGCTACTAGAAAAATTTAATGCATACCTAGCTCACATTATATTTCTATTAAACAAGGCTGCTGTCCAGCAGAACTGAACTTCTAACATAATGACTGGCCCGGTTTGAGTTCAACAGGAGCGACACTGTAGCACTGTGGGAGAGAAGAGCTCTTCGTTTCCCAGCCTGGCCCTGGGACGCGGAGGAGCAGGCTCTGGGTCACAAAGCCAGGGACATCCTTGACCCAAGAACCCACAGCAGATCACAGCCCAGAACACTAACCAGAAGACTAAATTTCAGGACCAGCTCAAGGACCCCATGTTGCTCCGTTCAGATAATCTCATGTCTTCTCCTGAAGAGACTCACCCTTCCCCAGGCAATGTCACACACTGCGTTTCCAAGGGAGTCCAGCAGCTTCCCCCAAAGCACCATCTGGGCCAGTGGGAAGCTCCCCGCCTTTGGATGTCGCAGAAACACCAGTCTGCCATGGTGGCCCCTGCCTCGGAGCTGGAGTGCAGCCCTTCACATAGAGGCTGAGCTCCCAGGCGCTCCCAGGCATGGCTCGTGGGCAAGACTCCTCCACCACGGCCAGCTCGGGCTCAAGAGAAAGCAGCTGCCAGCCCTCTGGGAATGCCAGATACATCTATTAGGTGAAGAGAAAGAGGAAGGGTTGCACACGCCTACTGAGGCTCCTCCTGTACCCTCAGGGAACGGTAAACCAACACTGGATGCTCATTTCTTACTGAAGGGACTGGAAAAGAGGCCAGGGACCAAGACAAGTCTGGGGCCTGGGGAAGCTTTCCGGTGTCTCTCACACACTCAGCTTTGCTGAGAAAAGGCTCCCGGTGAGCATCTCACAGGCCCAACATTGTGAAAGGAGTTCAGATTCCACACAGGAGGGAACAGGTGAACAGACTTCTAGGAGTCTTTCGTGAGAGTGTTTCTGCATAGAATGATCAATCTCACCCCACACATACACCCCAAAACAGGACACCACTAAGTGAAAGATCCCCTGCAGCTGGGGGAAGTTGATTTCTAGGGGTCTCGACCCCTCCGTGCTAGTAGGAATACACTATATTCCTAGCACTGTACATTACCTAAGTGGTAGTGCAGGAAAGGGACATCTGAGAAAGATACCTGGCCACACCCCCAACTCTGAAGCTAAGTATTTCAAAAGCCATCCAGGACAACCTCTAGGAATGAAGCCATCGTCATGGAGACTGGTGGCAACCGGGGCTTGTCACCGAACTTTTAAGCTAATATCTATGCAGGCAGAATGGCCACTGCCTGGTGCCTATAGCTGCCGCCCACATGACATCACACAGCAAAGAGAAATTAAGGCTGCAGAGGAACCGAGGTTGCTAACCAATCACACCAAAAATGGGGTCGTGTCCCAAATTCCCAGCGTGGGCCCAATGTCATCACCAGGTCCCCGCTGCGGAAGCGGGAGGCCCGAGAGGCAGCGTTGCAGAGATGCAGCCTGGGAAATACATGTCCAGCTGAAGATGGGGAAAGGGAAGTGAGCCATGGAGTCTGGACAGCAAGAGGGCTCCTTCCCTGGCACCTCTAGAAGGGAAGGCAACCTGCTAACACCTCCTTGGCCCGGGAAGGCCATCCTGGACTTCTGACTGCTACAACTGCAAGACAGGGCATTTGTGAAGTTTCCGTCCCCTGCTGGTGACAACCTTCTCAGGGGCAGTAGGAAATTAGCATAAAAGTCTTCCTTCCTCCAGCCCCCAAGTGCCCAGGAAAAGACTGCCGAGGATGAGGACGGAGGTCTGGGGAAGGAGGCCTGTTCCATGCAGGTTTGTGCAGCATGGAAGGCCTCTCCCCAGACCCTCATTCTCCGGATCCCGGGCACCAGCTTCCAAGGGCTGTGCAGTCAACATGACTCCTCCTGCAGCTCTCATTCCAAATTTAGTTTTCATCTGTGACCCAGGGTGGGGAAAGCATTTGATGGAGGACAAAACACAGGCGAATTCTGCCTCCTCTGCCACAGCAGTACAGAGCAAGAGCCACATTCCCAGGGGTCCTTGGCCACACTCCTTGGCACCCTTCTGTGGCTCTGCAGATGAGGAGGGCAGACCCAGAAGGGCAGGCCAGCCTCAAGGGCACAGCCAGGCAGTGACGAGACTGGGCCAGAACCGAGGCTCCGGATGCAGGCCAGGGCTCCACACTCTGTGCACATTCTGGGACCCTCCGGGCCCACAGCACAGAGGCTCATGCTGTGAATGTCGCCTCTGCCGTGCACCCTCCTGCTCTCCACCTCCCACTCTGGCACCTTTCCACCCTTCTCCCTTGAGGTGCACCAGCACTCGGGTCCTCCACGGAGTCCCGGCCTGGAGCTGCCTTGGTCTGCGCAGGCAGCACAGAGGGCTTAGCAAGCATTAGCTCATAGGTGGAAGACCTGGCTTGGCCCCAGCATGGAGGGGGCGCAGGTCGCTGTGGGATTGGCCAGACCCGAGCCCCCCAGTCCTCGGCGGCACCGTGCTCTGCAGCACCCAGCAAGCCCTGCCTCACTTCCCAGGCCAGTGGCGCTCTGTCCGTATCCCAGCATTGGGGAACTTTCTTTAAGCATCATCACACCATCAGAGGCCCTGCCCGGCCGGCTCAGATGGAGATTCCTCCAGCAAGTCCAGGGTGTGGGGAGCAGAGTTCATTTGTTCCAAAACCACACCTGCCCCTGAGAACCACCTCAGTCTGCCTAGGCCCGGGACTCTGGTTCCTCCCCTCCTGCCCACCTTCATCCTCCAGCTGCCCTGGCAGACCCAGAGCCTCCCCAGGAGTAGAACATTTGACTCGGCCACTCCTGCCTGGGTTCCTTAGACAAAAGCATCCGAGCTATTTGCATTTGCCCTTCCCCTCCCTCGCCTTGGCCCACAAGCCCTCCTGTCCTCCTCTTAATTATGCAGTAACTAACAACTCTGCTAACTGAAATCGGGCGGCTACTGCCCCTACAAGTCCATAATTAGCCCCATGGGAACAACAAATGCTTGCAGAGCTCCCCCACTGCTCCTGGCAGCCGCTGGAAGCAGGTGGGGTCTCCAGGCCCAGCTCTGAGGGTCCAATCTGGAATGCATATGTTTCCCTTCAGTCACCCTCTCCACCCCCGGGGCAGGCCCGAGGGGGTAGAGGCCCGCAGCCCTGTTCCAGGGTTTCCTCTCAAAAGGACACCCTCGTTATAAAGGGATGTTGTATTCACAGGTAACCAACAGCCCCCTGTGCATCTGGGAGCACTTTGAGTGATTGCCAGGGAGAAAAGAAATTTGGGTCATAACTAATGATCAACATCCCCTTTTAATCAAATGAAGCCGTTATAACGTGTGTATCCTCCAGAGGAACAAGGCCCTTTCACCTCCCGGAGGTCCGCAGTAGCATTAACCTCTTCGGGTAAGCCTTGGAGCCAGCCTTGCCCAGAGAGGAGGCAAGGCAAGCTGTCGGGTACTCGGCATCTCCTGCTCAGCGGGTGATGAGCGGAAAGACCTTGAGGGCTCATCAGAGCACAGCCCACGGCCCGCCCGAGTTCCACAGTCTGTACAATCAGCATCAGTGGATTCCCTAGGCAGACCGAGGATTTTCATGTTTAACAAGTTCTCACGTGATGCTGATCCTCATGAGGACCACATCACAAGAACGTGTGTTGGAAGATGAATGGACTTCTAAACACATTTGCACGGTGTTTGAGCCCCTTCAGAACACTACGTGATGTAATTCTCAGGAAAACCCTATGAACTGTGTCCTTCTACCCATTTTACAGACGAATAAGGTGAGGATCAAAGAGAGGGTACTGCCTAAGACTTTATGATTCTGTGCTGGGGACGAAGAGCCATGATTCGGTGCCCAGGTCTTGATCCTGCAGCAGCAGTTAGAGAGATTCAGGCAATCGACACTGTGCCAGAGAAGGGTGCCGAGCAGAGCGGAGATCATCTCTGCCAGGCACAGGTGACATCCCGGACCTCGCACTGCCGCGCAGTGTGGCCTGCATCTGAGTGCAGACTTGCTCTTCGCCCACACTTGCTCCTGGCCCGCTCTACCATGCACACATGCAGCGCTGGAGCTCCGGAGGCCTGAGGAGCCGCCCTGGCTTCCCTCTGCCCACCCACCGGAGATGGCTCTGGCCCTGACCTCTCACCTTCTTCCCTCTCCACCACCCTGTGCTCTTCTCCCTGTCCACGGGGTGGGAAGGGCTCAGGTGACCCCACAAACCCATCCAGCCTCTCACCCCGGGTCTCCAGAAATGGCTCCAGGTTCTTCCATTGGTGTCTCGGGCCCCTTCCCAATGCACACTGCTTCTCAGGGGCTTCTGACAGCTCTGACCTCACAGGGCTGTGTTCCTGCCATCTGGGGAAGAAAGGCAAAGCAATTCAGTCAGCTCCTTGACTTGGGTCCTGAGTGGCCCTGGTACAGCCTTCCTGGGCATGGCTCTGCCCATCAGCCTTCCTTCCTCTCAACCCTTCATCCGGAAGGGAGAACATCTGGACTACATTCGGCGCAAGGCATCATGGGAGATCCAAGGTGAGCTCCCACCCTCCCAGGGCTTGGAGCCTGTGGACAGAGTGGAGATCCTCAAGTTGGTACAGTTATTTGAACATAATAAGTCCACAAGATGAGAAAAAACTAATATTCTCAGTGTGCCTGTCACGTGTCTGATGGTGAACTAACAGGTTTTTTTTTTTGTACCGAGGATCCAACTCAGGTCCTTGCACTTGCGCAGCAGGCGGCGAAACCACTGAGCCAAATCCCCGGCCCTGAACTAACAGTTTTCATTTGAATGACTTTGTGAGCCACGCAGCAAGCTAGTGAGGAAGATGTGTACATCCCCGGTATGTGGACGAGGAAAGTGAGAGTCAGGGGCTGAACAAACCGTCTGAAATCACGTGGCCAGCTTACAAAGGAGTCAGGCTTCAAACCCATGTACGTGTGACGACTCTCCCTCAGAGCTGACTGCCACTCTGTCCTGTCGGCACAGACTGGAGAATGAAGAGGAAGCACTCGACTGAGGCGATCGGATGCGGAATGCCGTGAAGGGGGCTGAGGCCAGGGGATGGGATGGGCCAGAGATATCAGGACATGAACAGCTGTGCTGGGGCGGAACAAGGCTGCTGTGTTGAAGAAAGCGTCCACCCATCGGTAGACAGGAAGGTCTGATGGGCTTGCCCCACGTGCTGTCCTCTGGATACGACAGGAGCCATGCAGGCTTCTGGCCAGAAGAACAAGGTGTGGGAACCCTCCCCTGGGCACAGAGCTCGGCATTATGGCTGGGTTGATGCGTAAGACCTAGGAGAAGAAATGCCTCTTAAGGAGGCCTGGCACCATCACAAGGGAACAGTGGTGTTTTAGAAATGGAATCCAAGGTTATGAAAGACAGTGCTTTTTGATTTTTTAAATCTAAACTACATTTCTTTAAAGTGTGATTTTTCAAATGTCAGGAAAAGCCATCTGTGCTAACTTCCAACTGTGAGACAATTACATGGACAGCAAAGTAGCTTACTCCTGCCCAAGCTGCAATAAAATACAGTTCCCGGTTCAGGAAGTCAGGGCAAGGAGCATCTTCCGAGCCAGGCTCCCATTTAGCGTGCAGCTTCCCACTCACTCCCCAGGTCTACTTCAACAGCATAACGAGGACCGTGAGACGCAGCCCTCCAACCTTCCCAGGAGCACACCCCTAAGTGTCTCAAGATGTCCACGGCACATCAAAGGGAAGGATATGCCATAGGATACAAGTCCTGAAGGCCCACTGCTGGAAACAAAAACCCAAGACAGCTCCTGCAGTGCCAGTAAAAAATATGGACTCAGAAGATTAACTGGCTCCCAAGCTGGAGCACTCCAGCCAACTGTAACCTGGCATTTCACGTGGAAGAAAGAGAGAGACACCTCTAGCAGCACTGTTTGCCAAGTTTCCCATGAGCCTGAGGAAGGACTCCCTCTGGCCTTCCTCCACTCACAGCCTCGTGCTAAAAGCCGCTGGCTCCTCTTCAAGTAAAGCCAACCTGAGGAGTCGGAGGAGGGTTCCCTTGGAAATGAAGGGCCAACTTCCTGCAAAATGCCTGACTCCCTCTAACTGCCTGCTCCCTGCTAGGCTAAGCAGAATGGGCAGGAGCTCATAACCTGTCAGAGTGGTGCTCTACCCGTGTTCTTCCCATGCCATACTGTCCCCATGAAGCAGGGAAAGGGAAGCTATGACAGATTTTACAGCACTAGTCTCTGAGTCACGGATTGGCCGCCACTGCGATGTTCATAAAAACAGCTAGAAGAACCACGTCCCTCAGCATGAGCTATGACAAGCCCTCTGGCTTCAGCTTGAGGTGGCTCCGCCTGTCCCACTTTTAGAGATGGACACTAAAGAGTCAGAGACAAGGTGAACATGCTGCCATTCTTACTGCTGCTTCCCATGCTCTGCTGAGGACTGGGACTTTGGTTTCTCCCCAGTGCTGAGATCCCTGCAGCCCTGGCTGCCACAACTGACCCGACCTGGTCAGCAAGTCTTCCTGACCAGCCAAGTTCCCAAGAATACAGATGTGGACAAACAGATGCTCCTGAGCCAAAAAGAAGAATCATTTTCTTTAAGACACAAGTGGACCAAGTGATGCAGAACCTCCTTTGATGTGAACCCCTTTGCCAACCCCCATTTGTGGAGTGCCGCTTGAGACCTCAGACTTTCTCATTTGCATGCACACAAACACACCCACCTTGGCCACTGCCCTTTTCAGCAAGACCCATGACGGTTCAGCCTGCAGAGTGCTAATGCCACTAGAAGTGAGGCAGAAAGAGACCCGAGGTGCCCCGAGTGAACATGGGACACTCGAAGGCAGCAGCCTCCCATGGGCCCTGTCTTTCAAGCGCCTCCTTGTCCCACCTGACCTCCTGCATCCCTGCACATTCCATTTCCCTTCTGGAGTTAAGCATCAAGCACGGTTCCATTCTGGTCACCCTTTACACCTTCAGCATAGTCAGCTGCACTCTTTAGTGGGTCTGCTCTGCACTCCAGGCCAAGAACTGTCTTGTCCATTTTCTATCTCTAATGAGAAGACACTCCACAAATTCTTGTTGGATGGATGGGTGGATGGATGGATGGATGGATGGACTAATCTATGAGTGAATGAGCGAATCCATGAATGAATCCATGAATTTCCACAGCAACACCAAGACACACAGCTAGAAAGTAGGTGCCTGTGGGACCTAGTCAAAGGTATATCTCCTCTTTGAATCAAAAGGCCATTGCCAAAATGTCACAAGAACCCAGGCAGCAGCTGAGGGGAGGAAACTACTGGTGTACCCAGTGTCCCATCAGCCTAGAACGTATCTGGCTGTGCTCTCATAAGCAAGTGTGGTATTTCTGCTCAGAAGCTGCAGTGCCCTCAGGGGTCCTCTTCTGGGGTCTCTACTGACCACCTTGCATCAGGATCCTGGATTCTATTTCTCAACACAACCAAGGACACCAAAAAAGGGTCTCTGACGGGGCCCACCACAGAAAACCCCACTTCAGCACCAACACTTCCAAGAGGAAGGAACTCTGATTCTAGAGATAGAGCAGATTTGTTCAAGTCTAAGTTGGAAGTTCTCCTATGGGAAAATGACCTGTGAAGACAGAACTGCCCCTAAGAGTTACCAGGGCCCCAGTCATGGGTGGGAACACGGAAGACACCCTCACGATTCTGTTTCAGGGAACGCCAAATCTATTCCCCCACCGCTCTACCTACCACGGCAGGGAGGAAACATCACCCAGAACTTCCCCAAATCCTGGGGCACTCGGTCATGCCAAAGACATGCTCCCCAGCCTGGACCTCTGCCAGTCCAAGAGCTGAGACTCAGAAGGGGCTCAGGCCCTCTTCCCTGGCAGGCTGCTGCACCTAGCCATGCCTCACAGAGGGTCAGGGACTCAGGCTAAAGGCTTGAGAACCTTCAGAAGGCCACCACTACCAAGCATCGCCTTCCTGCTGGGGCCACTGAGTGGAAGAAATAATAATGGAGATTGAAAGGCATTCTGCATTTGACCTTCCACAACCCCGCCGGTTTTCAGTAGAACTCGACAGGGATCAGTCACATCTGCTCTCAATAGCAAATGTAAAAAATGACCTGCAGTTTTAAGGTCTGAAAAACATAAACTTGTGTTAAAAGACTGGCAAAAAAATTCCTGCTCTCAATAGCATGATCTCATTCAACTGCACACACTTTGCAATAACAATCATTCGTCAGAGTCCGCGCCCTGGACCTGAGCTCTGCCCTCCCGGGAATCATAAGCAGCTCTGGTCCCACAGAGTGGTGGCCATGCAGCTGGCCACACAGGAGGGCAGCAGCCTCCGGGCCTGGGTAATCAGAGCTGGGCGTGCAGGCGAGACCTCCAGGCCAATGCTCCGGGGTTTGCCGAAGACAGCCAAGGGTCTTCAGGCTGACCAGGTGCAGACTGCCTTGAGGAACGACAGGAACTCCGCTTCCTCCACACAGACCCCAGCTGCCCCACATCACTCCCACCCATCTCTCAACTGGGCTGCTTTGGAGGCTCCCAACTCTGACGGAAACTCCACAAAGAAGCTTAGGGGAGCCCGGGTAGCTCACTGACTCAGCCCCTGTGAGCTTCACCTTAGGGAGCCGCACACTTGGCATTAGCAAGCAGTGCCCACCAAAGACTCTACCCTGAGCCAGGCAGAGTACGTGGAACCAGATCAGACCAGGCATGGTCTCAGCGGCAAGGTGCTCCTAGTCTAGACAGGGAGTGTGCTGCTTAGCTTCCTGTTGCTATTTAAAATTTAAGAACCTGAGATAACTTGAAGTGAGTCAAGGTTTGCTTAGGTTCACAGCTTTGGAGGCTTTAGTTCATGGTCAGCCGGCCCCACTGCTCTGAACCTGTGGCCAGCAGCGTACTTCGCCGTGGAGGTACGTGGCAAAGCAGCTCACCATGTGACCAGGATGCGAAAGACAGGAAGGGAGCTCCAACTGTCCCTCCAAAGTCCTGTCCCCGTGACCTGAAACCACCCACTGGGCCCCTCCACCTCCCAGCAGGGCCATCCTGGGAACTAGGCCCTCGTCACACAGGCCTTTGGGGGACATTTCAGATCCGAACTACAGCGGGGAGCAAGATTGACCCAAACCATGAGTGTCGGGGCTCAGTTAGATGCAGGGGTGAGAGAAGGGATTGTGGAGAACTATAAATGAAGAGAGAGTCTACTGACTTCAGACCCTGCCAAACCTGCTATTTGGATCAGTTTACTAAGCTGTGTGATGCTTCACTGCTTTGCTCAATCCTAAGTCACCACCCATAGGGGACCAGGCCTGCGTGTTCTCCTCTGATTCCCTCAAGGCGAACACAAAGGGAATGAGCAGTCGTTAAGCTCCTCTTCTGC